GAGGCTCTGCCCATATCATTTGGGTCACGAGTTAAGGCTATTATGATGCGCAGTATGCCAATCTGCTGACTCTGTAAAATGCTTCTTGCGTTGCGTCTGAACGTTAGCTTAGTCCTTGTGAAGTCGCACTCACTCGTCCTTATGGGACTTGGGAGTCCACTCCAGGAGCCCAGGCTTATGCCAAATGCAATTTAGCGCTGTATTAAAGCCACATGGACCATCACTCTTTCTCTCTGCGTGGAGGAAAGGTATAAAGGAACAGTTTACAAACAAACAAGCCACTGACGTCACCTTGAAAGTTAGGCTCGGCTTTCAGAAACAAATCGTCATTTTAAGAGAAAATGTGGCGGTCAAAGCGCCTTCATTTTTCCATTGCACACAGAAATGGAACATTTTACCAGTTCGTCTTGAAAATGTGGTCCAGTCGTCACAGCATTGAAAAACATTGACCTTTTTTTACCTCTTGGCCATGCAAATGACTCCACAGTAGTGGTTTTCCACAATAAAATAGCAGTAAGTGGAAATGCAGCCACACGATTGCATGGCTATGAGCAACTTTGTCACAGTAATTTGTTTCCAGTACCTACGTATGTAAATCCCAATTCCAGTGAAGTCCTGCCATTGCGTAAAATGTAAATGAACACAGAATACAATGATTTGCTGATCATTTTTAACCTATATTCAGTTGAATATACTACAAAAACAAGGTATTGATGTTCAAACTGATCAATGTTGTTGTTATTATTTATATTTAATATTCCCTCATTTTGAATAGGATGCCTGCAACGTCCCACCCCCCCACAAACACACACTCACACAAATGTTTGAGGTACTTTTTCTGCCTCAAGTACCCGTTTATTTACGTGAACACTGTCAGAAAGAAGAAACCAAGCTAACCGCAGCAACAATTGTTCATGCTATGCATGACAGCAACGCACCGGCCAACTTCCAAGTAAACCTTCCCTTACCAAATACATACCTGTCAACTTTTCGGAGCGCCAACCTGTATAAACTACCAAAAAAATCCTTATAAAGAGCAAAAAATCCTTATAACATACCAAAGCATTTTATATGTCAAAATAACGGCAGAAAAAAACCCCCGAAATTTTCAATGATATTTATTGTAGATCTCCATAATACAATGTCTGGTTAATGTCTAATCATCATTCTACTTAGTGGCATTACTGTGTTCAGAGTTGTATTCCTGCGTTACTTTTTTCACCAACTCCAAATGCTGACCCATCGGCTCGAAGTTACAGCATCCATTCATATTCACATTCAAGTATGCAATGAATACTCTGCTGTTTTCAACTAGGAACCACGTGATTTACTGGAAAGTTACCGGAAATGAAAGCATTCGAGTAGACTAGCACCATTCTGGGCAAAAGCAAACGGAACTACCTGTTAGGGGAAAAAAACAAACAAAAAAAAAAAAAACGGAAATTTTCAAAATCCGTATGATTTGTGCAATACGGCCATATACGTAAGATTCACCACAAAATCCGTATGAACTATGGCTAAACTGTATGAGTTGACAGGTATGCAAATAATATTTGGACATCAATGCCTAGGTTGACTTTTATTTGGAAGTTGTTCCCGGCAGCATAATGGCTGACCTGACTCATCTCCTACTGTAACGATGTCAACAACACAATGTCATCCTGAAGTGATGTTCAATCGCTAATCTCGGGTGCTCAAAAAAGAGTTAATTATGCTGAAACTGGATTGGATGCGCCTTTTGCTAGCATTTAGCACCGGCTCCAGTGTTACCGGCTAGCCAGATAGCCACTCAGCAAGCAAGACAGCGAGAGCTGTCGGATCAAAGGCAGTTTTAATAGACGTAAATGACACTTTAATGCTGACAGCCTGACACAGTCACCGTCCCTGTTGATCACTTTTTAACAAGCCAGGCAAACTCAAAAGTGTGTTGTTTTCGCAAAATTGCTCCTGCATGTCACTTGGTCGCAAAGATCAAAATATGGAGGGAGATTTGTGTGAAATCTCACACATTTTTAGAGAGGGAAATAGTGTGCTGCTATGCACACATTAAATTTAAGTAATTTTGATTATCTAAAAATTAAAACCTGTTGGTCGTTCATTTTGAAGTGGAAATGTTTTTTTTTGTCTTCTTAATTTTTATAACCAAAATGTGGTGTGAAGAGTCCACATTTTAAAATTGTTTTTGGAAATCATGCATGTTGTGCTATCAGGGCAAAGTTCAACAGGCAGCATCTTTGATGCCCATGGCAAGGGCAACTTGCACTGTGAACGCACCGTTATTGCTGAAAGATTCATTAAGGTTTTGGAGAAACGTGTGCTGCCTTTTTCACGGATGCCCCTGCTGATTTCAGCAAGACAATGCCAAACCACATTCTGCACGTGTTACAACAGTGTGGCTTTGTAGTAAAAGAGTGAGGGTACTCGAATGTCCTGCCAGCAGTCCAGACCCGTCTCCCATTGAATATGTGTATTGCCTTATGAAGCGTAGAATACGACAACGGAGACCCCAGACTGTTGAACAGCTGAAGCTGTACATCAAGCAAGAATGGGAAGGAATTCCCCCTTCAAAGCTTCAACAATCAGTGTCTTCAGTTCTCTAGTGTTTGTTGAAATGTTTTTAAAAGTAAAATATGCCCGTCCCAGTTTTTTTTTTTGTTTTTGTTTTTTTTTGCAAAAACCAAAGTTGTCGGTTTGAACATTAAATATCTTGTCTTTAATGGATTTTGTATTCAGGTGAAGCAAAGTTGAAAAGGATTTGCTGTACCTTAGGTACACAAAGCTCTTCATACTGTTTACTCATTCACCTACTGATGACACAGCATCAGTAGAAACTGGGGGTTCAGTATCTTGCTCAAGGACACTTGGTCATATTCTCCGGGGATCAAATCCCTAACCTCTGGTTTGGGAATCGACTGACCACCCTACCACTGATCCACGCGGCCCGCGTATCATTGTATTCTCTTTGTATTTTCATTTTAAACAACATCCCAACTCCACTGGAATTGAGGTTTGTTTTCTGCCGTCCACACAGGACCTCTGCCATAGTAACCTAGTCGCAGTGCTTACAGTGAGCAAAGGTATCTTAGATAAATTGCAGCACACTGTCATAGAGTGCCCATCTACTAGCCTAATAGGTTACATACTGTATGAGGTATTCAGAGGTCACGCCAATGACTTTCACACGAGAGACACCAGTAGCGCTGACTCTCATACAATTAAGCAGACTAGTAAGATAATGCCCTTGCCAGCTGGCCTTAGTAAGCATCAGTAATCCATAAGGTCTGCTACCGTGGTGCATTCGTATAGAGTACCGGTATGTCTGTCCTGCTTAACAGGTCATTCCGTCTTTCAACGCAGAGATGCACACAAACTCTAAACACTATCTTTAGCCTTGAAACAGGTTATCACTGTCCAATGTCCAGCATTATTTGCATCATTCAGTGAATTTGAATGAATATTAATCTGTAATATAATTGAATACTCATCTATAAGAATGCTTTTGACAGATTTGAATTTCCTATTGTGAGTGTGTTAATCTCTGAGATCAAAACATTGGGTGTGGGACCATCTGGCCCTTCCTGGATTGCTGCATGGTGTCTGAAGACCACTGGTTCAGCTCTGTGTAAACAAAGACAGACACTAGCAAGAGCTAAACTCGGCTAAGCCAAAAGAAGTTTATGATGTCTTAAGACCTGAATCTGAACAACAGAAAACCAAAGTTGCCTGCACTACATCTGCTGGAGTGGGCCGACGCGAAGTTTTACCTCTTGAATGAGTTTTTGTGACCCTCAAATGTGCCTCCCAAAAAACTAAAACTATGTGATGGATGTGTTTCCAGGCCACAGAGCAATCATTTGAGGAAGAGCAAATGATCGCAATTAGGAAGAGGGGTGAAAATGGCACCATTTCCCTTTCATTCATTCTGACAAAGTAGTGTAGCTTCACTCCAGACTTTTTATGAGTTCTAAAAATAATTGAGGTTTAATTGTTAAAGGTCAGCTCTGGCGTGATTTTCACCTGACTGTCTCTTCGACGGCGATTGCCTCCCTCCGCGGGGAGACGTTGTGAAATTAAATCATGCCTTGGAGAGGGAAACTGGTCTTCAGAACCATTTGCCTTCTCATTTCGTCAGCCGTGATAAGACAAGTGGGACAGGTTCGGTTAGACAATGGCCCGGATTCAAGATGGTTGGAGCAGCCTATTGTTGGTGGGCTATTTCAGGAAAAACTTCCTTCGAGATCCGTACCTGTATCACCGAGATAAACAATGATGTCGTTTGTCGCTTGAGAAATTGATAGACAACAAGCTAAACAAGTGCTCAACATTAAGTCAAATTATGCAACAGAAATAGTTGTACAATTTATGCAAGGTGGGAATGATATTATTGTTAATAATGATGCAATGGTGAATCATAACACACCAAATATGTGAACCATTATTAAGCACATTGTGTACTCGGATGTATTGTGCATTGAAAGTCATATCTGTTGCTTTGAGTGGAATTTGTGAAAGCATCAACATGTAATTTGTCAAACGCTGGAGTAGCAAGGAGCAATGTCCCCATAGAATGGTGCACACTTGCCCCTTGCACGTAAATGGACGTGTCAGTGAGCCGATCTCAAGCTTTGACAGCGGGGAACCAGTGAATGTCGCAGCACACTAGCCTGTGTCGTGATCATGTCTAGCACTGGCATCTGCATCTGCCTCAGTCACTCTCTTGCTACTGGACAGCTGCCCAGACTAATTCTGCTCTGGGTGTTTTTTCTTGTTTGATTCCACCATCAAGCCAGCATGGCTATACTGGGGCGAGTCAAATCCAGAGGTTCTCGTCTTGTCCCTCGCCTCACATCACTGAAGGTCTTGCCATTCCCTGCTTTGTCTGTTGAGTAAGCGTTACATTACCGACTGACTGCTGTCTATTTTAAGTAGCCGCAAGAGATAAAAACATCTCAGATCGCACCAATGTTCTCATTCTGTGTATCTTGCTCTCTCCACTCTAGATTGCTGATAGAAAGTTCCACGTGAGACGTCCCTACTTGGTGATCCCTGACTAGTTTCGAAGATTTCCTGAGCCCACCTGGAGTCGCAATAGGACACTCAGATGTAACCCTGTCAACTTCTTCCCCAACACTGAGACATCATCCGTTTTTGGACGTCTTGGCGACGCTAGGACAACCGACTGAACTCATCTCGGAGCATGCTTCGTCTGCTTTGCCTGCGGTTGCGCTTGAGTCTTGCTGAATGATGAACAATCCACAGTTTAACTGGCAAATACCACGGCAGCAGTGCGGTCCCATGCCCTGCTAACGCACAAGACTACCCAGTCCCTTACCTTCCCATTCCTGTCCAACAGAGACCAGTCCTATCCTATCTGAGTGAAAGTGGTTACGTTTTAGCTGCAACTTCCATCACCTGTTTACTGTTTTTCCTGGAATACATTGTAACCGCTCCCCAGAGGACGGGCCTCCTCCTTGTACTGAGCAGCTCCAACTCAGCCAGCGACGCAGACATGGCTCTCAATATTGCCTCTATACGCGACACAAAATGGCTGACCCTGGAAGTGTGTCGGCAGTTTCAGAGAGGGACTTGCTCACGCAGTGACGAAGAGTGCAAATTTGCCCACCCATCGAAAAGCTGCCAGGTGGAAAATGGGAGAGTGATTGCATGTTTTGACTCTTTAAAGGTAAGCATATTCTCTTACAATAACGTAGTGAGCTGTATCACACAACCTCGTAGGACATCCGAAGATTGTAAAGTAAGCAGGGTAAAAAGAACAATTTGAATCCAACTAAAATTTACAGCGTTGAAGCTCCTAATGGTCAACTGGTGTATGCTGTCATATGCTCAAATTAGCTCAATGCCGTGCCTCAGTTAGCCGATCATCCTGACCTATGAAGCTGAAGGCCAGAGAGGTCTGTTGTCATGTTCACTGTCATCACAGGTATGCATGTGAAGTTTTAGATGCCAAGTTCTTCTCATGTTGCCATACCTGTCCGTCATCTGTGTGAGGGTGCACTTTTATTCCTGCTTCCTTGCAAACACATGAACACAAACTGACCTATACCGACCCATTTTGTACTGTAATATTTTGCTCTCACAACATTCAAGTAGTGTTGCAGTATGCTGTGGGCAACTTGCTGCAAGTAATATGACGCCAATCAGGAAAAAGCCCATTCATATCAAGATATATGTGGGGGCTGGGCGATCGGGGGCTGACAGTGACAAATAGCCAAAGAAACTGGGACAGAACACCAGGACTTGTGGCGGTTATACTGTGGTTGACTGTTAGATACAGTGGATATCAAAAGTGCACACACCCCTGTACAAATGTCAGGTTTTTGTGATATATACAGTGAACCCTCTATATAACGCGGTTCACCTTTCATGGTTTCGCTGCTTCAGTTCCAGTCTCCACGCCTCGTCTCTGTACAGCTTGCCGAATTTCCGTTCACAACAAGAACTGATTTTGAGCTTTGGTTTCATTCTGTAGGAGAGGATTGTACAGTAATCCCTCGTTTATTGTGGGGATTACGTTCCAAAAAGTACCAGTGATAAGTGAAATTCGTGAAGTAGTGAACATTATTTTTTTTACAGTTATTATACAATACTTAACTATATACACAATGAAATCAAAGACCAAAATCTGTTTTCAGGCCCAATGACAAAAAAACAAAAGTTTTCAACAACTAACTATAATAGTTTTTGGAAATACTGTACTGTTGACACGCGGCGCCGCCGACGCGTTCTGATTCAAAGGGTTAAAAGCGTTAAAAACTGCACTAAAAAAATCCGTGAAACAGCGAAGCCGCGGAAAGTGAACCGCGTTAGAGCGAGGGATCACTGTATTGTATCATAATTGTAACAAAAACAGCTGAGTGTTACTGTCGTGATTCTAAGTTCATGTTAATATAAAATAATGTACCTTTTTACATGATGTTGAAATGATAATGACTCCACATTTATTTAGGCTATTGTCCCTCCTGATGTTACATTTGAGGGTTGTATTGAGTGGCAGGAAGTGGTTAATGTTGATTAGGAGTTATGCCAATTTGAGGAAAGCGCCGAAAGCGTGAGGTGCATATGGTAAGAGCTTCGATTTATTCAAATTACTCCTAAATTCCTGTTTTGAAGGCAAAACGGTATGTGTCCATAACTAATATGTGTTTTTGTTGTTGTTGTTAAGATGCATGTAGGTATGTTATACATTGTGTAACTGTACAGTGATCCCTTACTTATCACGGTTAATAGGGACTAAAACCGGCCGCGATAAGTGATAAACCACGAAGTAGGGTTTGCCGCTCCCCGAGGAATTTTTGTGTAAGTTTTTGTGGATACCAGCATATTTATACTTTACATATTTGAGACAGAGACTATAGCAGTACATGTATTTACTTAAACCTTTAATTATAAAACCTTATACAGTAATTAATATTCATCAGCATTGCTTTCTAAGAGAGGTGAAGAGGCTTGTGTTGGTGGCGTAGAAGGCGGCTCTCATTTGACGCTCTGACGGTATCGTCGCCGTTAGCCTCCAGCTGGCTCCTGGGCTGCTATCCTCGTGCAGCCGATGAGTTTATAAGACAATTAATCGATATTGCGGAGGAGGAAGCGAAGGGCAAAGTGCTGCTGCTGTGGGACCAGCCCATTCACCCTCCGCCCCTCTCCCTTTCGTTCTCTCTCTGCCGTGCACGTAGCAAACACAACACTAAGACAGTATGCCAGACAGTCAACAGTGTGATGAGACACAAGGGAAGGTGCTGGGTGGGGCTGCAAAGATGCGCAGCCAATCAGCTCACGGGATAAATCTCTTCGTGCTGTCATGGGTCGACATTTGCGCCAGGAACCAATCATGAGCCTTGAATGAGTGACGTTCCATCGTACAGCACAGGCATGTACAAAACCTCACAGCCATTCCAGCATTTTTGTTTTTTTAATGCAGTAAAAAAAAACAAAAAATGCTATGCACTGAAGCCGCGATAAATGAACATAAATGAATATATATATGCACTGCAGAAGGAGGTTGCTGGATTAGTCTGCATACTTAGTAAGTAGTAAATGCAATCACAAAAGTCATACGATGATGTCACATTGACTTCACCTCTGACAGAAGCATTTTGTTTCGATTTATTTCTCTGCTTTCCCAGTCTCTGATGCTAACCCTTGACTATGAATACTGTTTCATAAATCTTTCCCCAGAAGTACGACACTATTTATATCCAGTGTTGTCTCTCTGTTTAAGTTTTTGAATGGTTGTCGTTGCACAGTACATCCTCAGATGGTTGTCACCATGAGCATTTCAAAGAAAGGCATTAAGAGAGGCTGTGACACGCACGGCGAACATTGGGGTGTTCTGAACGGTGGCGATAAAATTTTGGTTTTTTTGAGGTGGTCACAAAAATATATTCATTACTGTTGAAGTGAGAGAAAGCACAAAAAACATTGTACGCCTCCTCCAAGTATGTGAGTGTGGTTTTACTTGAACGGAAGGCTATTTACCGCTCCACAGAGGGCGAGGTGCCCTGATTTCTTTCACTCTGTCCTAACATCTTAATCTAACTTGGACACTTTCAGTTATGGTTTTTATGGTTGTGGAGTGTTTCAAACGTGTACATTCAGCAAGGGACAGAACAAATGTTTGATTGGCTAAATCAAATTCTATAGAATGATGACAGCCTTTGGATGTGTTTTCATTCTGCCTGCCAGGTTCACAATATTTATTTTTATTGATTGTAGAACTGTGGGTCCTGACTGTTTTATTTGCAAACAACAAAGCAAGGACATTTTTTTGCATCCATCCATCCATCCTCCAATCCGCTTATCCTCACAAGGGTCGCGGGGGGTGCTGGAGCCTATCCCAGCCGTCTTCGGGTAGTAGGCGGGGGACACCATGAACCGGTTGCCAGCCAATCGCAGGGCACACACAAACGAAGAACCATTTGCGCTCACACTCACATCTAGGGACAATTTGGAGTGTTCAATCAGCCTGCCATGCATGTTTTTGAAATGTGGAAGGAAATCAGAGTACCCGGAGAAAAGCCACGCAGGCCCGGGGAGAACATGCAAACTCCACACAGGGATGCCGGAGCTGGAATTAAACCCGGTACATCTGCACTGTGAGGTCGACGCGCTAACCACTGGACCATCGGGCCACCCCATTTTTTTGCATTTGTTTATAAATTTAAAAAAATATACCGGTGTATATATATTTTTTTCATTATATTTAAAGTGAATTTTGAATTTTCATATTACAACTTTCAGATTAATTTCAAAAGCGTGAAATTGACGGACGGTCCACAAGACTGACTTTGATTTTAAGGCAGTGGTACCGTGACTTACATTTCATGAAGAACCAATCATTTCTTTACATTCTGGTGCATTTTAATTTCAAAACAACCAATAATATTCCAACAATAGCACTTTTTTTTTCTTCAATCAAAATGGAAGTTACTGTTTAGTTTTTTGTTTTTTGATGGCCAATTGAAAATGGAAAGAACGAATGATAATTTTTCCCACCTCTCATTAGTGCCTTTCGACTTGCGTGATTTTACCCAAAGGGCCATTTAGTGTACATGAACTCATAGCTTCTGCTCTTAGACCCCTGTTCCATGTTTAAAAAGATGGGTTTGGCTGCATTCCTTTATGTAATCCTCTTGCAATGGACCACACCCTTGGTCAGCAAACGTGGTGGGGAACGTGTGTGTGTGTGTGCAGTCTGGTATGAGCCAGTGAACCCCTGAGGTCAGTTGCACAGACACAATGAGGTACTCACGAGGCTGAGTGAGATCCTCCCCATTGCACGAATGGTCCTCCTCATTTGCAGACAAAAGCCCCCGTTGGCTCATTTAAACAAATTTCGAGACATTTGAGATATGGGTGGAGTAGGAGGAAGTTGACCACGATGACCTCTGCAGTCCTTCATCACTCCCAAGTGCAAGCTTCTGACCTTTCGGTGTGCTAAATCCCCAACTTTTCCACATCTTTCTTTTTCTCAATTATTTTTTTAACGATTTAAGTTCCAAGGATCCATTCAGGGCTCAACGCTGATCCAATATACAGCATACACTGAAAAAAACATGCTGGGTTGAATTTACACAATTTTATGTCACCAAGTGGTTGCACAAAATAAAATGAGCTGGATCCAGAGATACATTTCTTAAAGTCAACTATACAGCGACTTAAAAACTTTTCTGGATAAAAAAGGTAAATTCAGCACAAATTTAATAAATTCAACAAAAAAAAAATTTTCAGTGTAATCTAAAATAATTCTGTTTTATTTTAAGATTTTTGTTGATTGAAACAATTTTTAAAAAATATAAAATTAAATACGTATACTAAAGGGGGGTTATCCAGTTATTTGCTTAAAAACACGATTGGTCTGCTTTCTGCAGCCATCCTGCCTCAGGATGATTAAGATGCACTACGATATGTGGCTATATTAGCTATTTACTCGGCACTCTTCTTTTCTGATGAGATGACGCTTGTGAGTGCTCAGTGATGTTCTGTTGTAGACTTTAGACGTGACAACATACAGGGTTACCCCTTTTAGAGTGGGCATTAAAGTTATTAGGCAAAGATTCATGAAATTATAACGCCATTAATTTCAAAACCAAGTTGAACTTCCTCATGAGGGTTGCGGGCATGCTGGAGCCTCTCAAAGCTGTCTTCGGGCAGTAGGCGGGGTCC